GCAAATTGTTGGACGGCCCTTTTCTTCCTTTGCGGGGGAGGAGCGTTGGATTTGGGGGTCAAACCCAGCAGCGCTCAGGACTGACTTCCGGCTCTGTGCTCAGGGCTCATCCCTGGCGTGGTTTGAGGTACACTAGGAGGTGTTGGGGATTGAACCCAGGCCCCTCCTACGTGCAAATCATGTGCTCAACTCAACCTATTGAATTCTCTCTCCAACCCAGGTACTTCTTCTTCTTTTTTTTTTTTTTGCTTTTTTGGGTCCCACCCCGCGATGCTCAGGGCTGACTCCTGGCTCTGCACTCAGGAATCACTTCTGGCGGTGCTAGGGGATCCTAGGGGATGCCGGGGATCGAACCCGGGTCGGCCACGTGCAAGGAAAACGCCCTCCAGGCTGGTCTATGGCTCCAGACCTCCTCCATTCCTTCCTTCCTTCCTTTCTTTCTTTTTTTAAAAAAATTTTTTTTTGCTTTTTGGGTCCCACCCGGCGATGCTCAGGGCTGACTCCTGGCTCTGCAGTCAGGAATCACTCCTGGGGTGTTCGGGGAACCCTATGGGATGCCGGGGATTGAACCCGGGTTGGGTGCATGCAAGGCAAACACCCTACCCCCGATGTACCTTCCCTGTGCATCACCAGGTGGGACCCGCCCCCCCCCAAAAAAAGAGTGATCACTGAGCACAGACTTAGGAGCAAGCCCTGAGCATCGCCGGGTGTGATCCCCCACAAGAAAAAAAATAAAGCAATAATTTATCCAGGTGCATGCCGGTGGCTCTGAGCCCCCCATCACTGATGGCCTCAGGATGAGCCCCTCGGAGCACTGGTGTCCGGGAGACAGAGGCACTGGGGACCCCTTTCTCCGTCTGTGTTCACGCCCTTTTTGGGGATTTCCGGACACGCTCAGCCTTGCACGTTTCACCCAGGATCCCGGTAACTTCACCCGGATGCCGGGAGAAATGTGAGAAACTTCCCCAGCGGGAAAGACACGTTCCTAGTAAGCCGAAACGAGGTTCTTCTTGCCTCTTACTGGAAAGGAGCTTCAAGAAGCTGCTGGAATCAGGTGGGGTGAGGAAGGATATTTTCACGGAGGCTGGCAGCTCCCAGGCCCCGGGTATCTCCAGAGCCTGGTCCCCCGAAACCCCCTTAAGCCTCCGTGGCAGAACCGATTTGGAACTTCCTGACCCTCTGATGAAATTGCAGGGAGAGTTTTCACAGGGTTTTTTTTTTCTTTTCCCAATTTTGAGTATCAAGGGGGACCAGGTACTAGCACAGCGGGGAGGGTGTTTGCATTGCCAGAGGCTAACCCGGGTTCAATTCCCAGTCCCAAAATTCCATAGAGCCCCCATGAGCCCCTCCAAGAGTGATCCCTTAAGTGCAGAGTCCAGAGCTTTGCCAGGTGTGGACAAAAAAGCAAATAAATAAATAAATAAATATTATTATTTAGGAATAAGTCAATGGTCATTTTCAAACAGAACCCAAAGTCTGGTTTTGTCATTAAGTTTCTTGAATCTCTCCCAACTTGGAGCAAAGCCAAGGTATCCCCCCTGAAGAAAGGATGGTTAAATTGAGGTGAACATTATTTAAATGTTAGCACAGCGGTAGGGCATTTGACTTGCACACAGCCAGCCTGGCCGAGCCAGGTTCAATTCCTCTGCCCCTCTCAGAGAGCCTGGCAAGCTACCGAGAGTATTCAATATGCCAAACACAGTAACAAGAAGTCTCACAATGGAGACGTTACTGGGCCCGCTCGAGCAAATTGATGAACAACGGGAGGACAGACAGATTGGTTTTCTCATTCAAGAAAATCCTTGCAATGAAGAGTTACAAATATCCTTGCCCTTGAAATTGGTGACATCGGCCAGTTTGATTGATTGATTGATTGGTTGATTGGCTGGATTTGGGGCCATACCCAGCTCTGCTCAGAGCTTCCTCCCTGGCTCAGGAATCGGGGACTTTATGGGACGCCAAGAACCGACTAGAGCTCGGCCGCATGCCAGGCCATCACCTTCCCCTCCAAGCTCCCCTGCCAGTCCTCAACTTTCTTCATTAATAGAAAATACAGAGAAAGTCAAGTGAAGTTTCGAAGCAGCTTCGAGAAACAATCCCGAGAGTTGACTCCGCCGTATACAGCAAGAAAGCGCTAGTCTGGGGCTGGAGCAATAGCACAATGGGGAGGGCATTTGCCTGGCACACGGCCGACCCGGGTTCGATCCCCGGCATCCCATAGGGTCCCCCGAGCACCGCCAGGAGTGAGTCCCGAGTGCAGAGCCAGGAGTAACCCCTGAGCATCACGGGGTGTGACTCAAAAAGAAAAAAAAAACAGTGCTTCTTCTAAATGAATGGAGAACATCGTGCTGAGTGAAATGAGTCAGAAGGAGAGGGACAGAGAATGACACATTCCTTTGAGGGATATAAAAAATAAATATAGTCACTGTCACTGTCCTCCCATTGTTCGTCGGTTTTCTCGAGCGGGCCCAGTAACGTCTCCATTGTGAGACTTTGTTGTTGCTGTGTTTGGCAGTAAAGAACAATATCCATGGCCAGGGAAAACAGGGGCCAGGAGGACTGGTCAGCGGTTGGAACTGACCACAAGTGTGGGGGGGGCGGAGGGTGGGTGAGAGAGAGAAGGGACCAGGGTGACCATAATAGCTGGGAAGGGTCACGCTGGACAAGAGCTGAGGGTTACAAGTAGGTAAAGGCAGATTCTGGATAAGCTTTCAGTATCAATATTGCAAACCAATACCCAAAAGGAGAGAGAGACAGAGAGAGAGAGACAGAGACAGAGACAGAGAAACAGAGAGACATAAAGAGAGACAGAGACAGAGAGAGACAGGGAAACAGAGAGAGACAGAGAGAGACAGAGAAACAGAGAGACATAAAGAGAGGCAGAGACAGAGAGACAGAGAGACAGAGAGAGACAGAGAGACAGAGAGAAACAGAGAGACAGAGAGAGAGACAGAGAGAGAGAGACAGAGAGAGAGAAAGAGAGAGAGAAGAAAAGCACCTTCCATAGAGGTGGGGGGGTGATGGGAGAGACCCTGGGGACCCTGGTGCTGGGAAACGTGCCCTGGTGGAGGGACGGGGGTTGGGACCCTGTAGGACTAAAACCCAACCATGAACAGCTCTGTCAGGGTCTATCTCACAGTGATTCAATAAAAAAGTTTTTTTTTTTAAAGTGCTGCTGATTCAGACCCTGAGTAATCCAGGGGTGCAGCTACTCAAACAAACATAGAGAATATGAACTTTTTCCTTTTTGGGTTCCACCCGGGGGTGCTCAGGGCTGACTCCTGGCTCTGCGCTCAGGAATCACTCCTGGCAGTGCTCTGGGGACCCTAGGGGATGCGGGGATTGAACCCGGGTCGGCCACGTGCAAGGTCAAGCCCCAGATCAAACTATTTATCACGGTAATCCTCCCCTGTACAAAATAGAAAATAAAGCTTGAGGTTGGGAGCTTTTTTCTTTTTTGCTTTTTGGGTCCCACCCGGCGATGCTCAGGGGTTCCTCCTGGCTCTGCGCTCAGGAATCACTCCTGGCGGTGCTCGGGGGACCCTCTGGGATGCTGGGGACCGAACCAACGCCCTCCCCGCTGTGCTATCACTCCGGAGGGTCTCCCCCTTTCCAGTTCTTCAACTTGTGCCCTCGCCTTCCCCTCCGGCATGCAGTTTGGGACTATTTATGGTCTTGGGGGCTCTGGTGTTGAATCCCGGAGCTCGTCAAGCAGCAGGAAGGCAGCCTGTGAACTTCATTCGCTCATGTCCCAACAATTCACAGGGCTGAGCATTCCCACCCTCTTGCCTGCTCCGGCACGGGCTCTCTGGCTGTGGCTCCCCGGAGGGAGACCTCCCTCGCCTGGTTTTCTGTCTGGAGGTCCTGGAGACCATTAACTCTTCTCCGTGTGGAACAAAAACGCCCGAGACGACCGTGAGGCAGAATAGAGAGGGTGTGTGTGTGTGGGGGGGGGGGGGGCTTCCTACAAACTAACCCACTGAAGTCTGCAAGCCAGGGGGAGGGCGTCCCCATGGGCTGGACGGGCATGTGACCCTCTTGTGGTCCCTAATTCATAGCCCCCCTTTGACCTGCTGCCCCCCCCAAGGTGCCAAGTTCTCCGAGCAGAGACACCCAGGACAGGATGCGGGTGCAGAGATGCTTTGACTAATGGGATTAAGTCACTTTCCTGAGATCAGTCTTCTTTCCTTTTTTTTTGAGTTTCGGGGGCGGGCCACCACCAGCAGGGCCTGCTGTTCCTTGGGGAGGGCGGGGTGGGGTCCACTCCTGGTGATGCTCTGGGCCCAGGGCAGCGGCCAGGGCTCCCCCCAATCCCCCACCGCACCCACCCACCCGTGGGGCCCTGCGGTCCCTGCCCCCGGGTCCTGCAGAACCGATTAGGCCGCTGGGGATGGGCATCCTGCCTTCTCATGCGCGCGTCCCAGGTGGTCCCTGCACACAAAAGGATCGGAAGGGTGCCAGCCCGCGGTTCTGGGGGTGGGGGGAGGGAGGAGAAAAAGAGGAAAAAAGGAGGAGAAAAAGAGGGATAAACAGGAGAAAAAAGAGAGGAAAAAAGGAGGCGATAAAAGCGCCAGAAAGCGAAGCCAGGAGCGCTCTGAGCGCGCCTCCTTGGCACAGTTCGGGTCCCGAGCCCAGGAAAGCGTTTCGGAAAAGTTGGGAAAGCGTTTCCAAAGCGTTTCCAAGCCCCCGACCAGCAACTGCAAGGCGCGGAGACGCACGGTCAGGATTTCCCGCCGTGGGGGCTTTGGATTTGGCTCGGCAGCTCCGAGTCACCCCCCGGGGCCCCGCGCCCCGCGTTTCTCCCCGCGCCCTCGGGAGCGACCGTTAACGGCACCCGCCGCCCTCCCCTTCCTGGAGACCCCCCCTGCCCGGGGAGGGCGGGGACACCCGGGGGTCCCGGGGACGTTCCCCCCTCCCCAATCCTCCCCGGCACCTGCACCCAGGAAGGGGCGCGCAGGGCGCAGGGCGCGCAGAGGGTCTGGGGCGCGCCCCCCGCCTACCTCGGATGTAGGCGCATCTGCCCTCGTCCAGCTGGCTGGAGGCGGAGCCCCCCATAGTGCCGGCTCTGGGGTCCGACGGCTCCGGGGCGCAGGGCGCACTTCCCCCGCCGGGCGCCGCCCCGAGCCTCCGCCCTCGCTGCGTCCCGGGGCGCGGCCTCCCCGCCCTCCCCGGCCAGCGCGGTTGGGGTGCAGGGGGCAGGGTTAGGGCTTGAAAGTGGGGGCAGGCCGGGCTCTGGGCTCAGGGCTCACTCCTGGCTCTGTGCTCAGGGCTGACTCCCGGCTCTGTGCTCGGGATTGACTCCCGACTCTGTGCTCAGGGTTGACTCCCGGCTCTGTGCTCAGGGATGACTCCAGGCTCAGTGCTCAGGGCTCACTCCCGGCTCTGTGCTCGGGGCTGACTCCTGGCTCTGTGCTCAGGACTGACTCCAGGCTCAGTGCTCAGGGCTCACTCCCAGCTCAGTGCTCAGGGCTGACTCCTGGCTCTGCGCTCGGGGCTTACTCCCGGCTCTGTGCTCAGTGCTCACTCCCGTCAGGACACAGGGCCCCTCTGTGGTTGGGGGCTTTAACAGGGTCCCTGTGCAAGGCCCTGTGTGTCTCCCCACTGCACGGGCTCTCCAGCCCTGGTATGTGCCATTTCCCGTCCCTCCCCCATGGATGTGGAAACTTCTCCCCATTGAAGCTTCTTCTTGTATTTTATTTCTCTCTCGTGGGTCTCCGGGGCCCCTGCGGTGCTGGGGGTGGAATCGGGGCTTCCCCTCTAGAGCCCGCTGTGCCCTGAGCTGCCTCTCTGACCCCTTTTCTTCGTGGAAACCATCTGCTCTTGCTACAAGAGCGGGGATCTGGGTTCCATTCCCCAATCGAGTTCTAGTGTCTAAAGCATCGAGTCCAGAATCAGTCCTGCTACCCACAAGACAATTTCTTCTCCTAAACCCCCCTCATGGGCGTGTTCCAAAGTAATGAGCTTTTTTTGGGGGGGGGGGGAGTGGTCCCACCCGGCGATGCTCAGGGCTGACTCTGGGCTCTGCACTCAGGAATCACTTCTGGCGGTGCTCGGGGGACCCTAGGGGATGTCAGGGATCGAACCCGGGTCGGCCGTGTGCAAGGCCAATGCCCTACCCACTGTACTATTGCTCCAGCCTTTCTTCTTCTCTTTCTTTCTTTCTTTCTTTCTTTCTTTCTTTCTTTCTTTCTTTCTTTTGCTTTTTGGGTCCCACCCAGCGATGCTCAAGGCTGACTCCTGGCTCTGCGCTCAGGAATCACTCCTGGCGGTGCTCGGGGGACCCTAGGGGATGCCGGGGATCGAACCCGGGTCGGCTATGTGCAAGGCAAACACCCTCCCCGCTGTGCTATTGCTCCAGCCTTTCTTTTCTTTCTTTCTTTCTTTCTTTCTTTCTTTCTTTCTTTCTTTCTTTCTTTCTTTCTTTCTTTCATGCTCAGGGCTTCCTCCAGGCTCTGCACTCAGGAATCCCTCCTGGCGGTGCTCAGGGGACCCTATGGGATGCCGGGGATCGAACCTGGGTCAGCAGCGTTCAAGGCAAACGCCCTCCCCGCGGTGCTATTGCTCCAGCTTTTCTTCTCTTTCTTTCTTTCTTTCTTTCTTTCTTTCTTTCTTTCTTTCTTTCTTTCTTTCTTTCATGCTCAGGGCTTCCTCCAGGCTCTGCACTCAGGAATCACTCCTGGCGGTGCTCAGGGGACCCTAGGGGATGCCGGAGATCGAACCCGGGTCGGCTATGTGCAAGGCAAACGCCCTCCCCGCTGTGCTATCGCTCCAGCCCCCAAAGTAATGAGCTTTGACTACGAGTCATCAACTGTACGAGGGTCTGGGGCGAAACACCACATGGCCCCGTGGAGAACCTTCCAGAAGCCCGGCCATCACACGGGGGCACGTGCCATCAGACGGGTGCATGGGTGGGAAGGTGAGAGCGGGGAGTGTCAGCCACTTTGGGAGTGACAGTGAGGGACTCTGGGCGGGGGTATTTATGGCGTTCAGGTCTCCTCTGTAACCAGCACTCAAATGTCCCATTGGGAAACTTTCCATCGGGATAAAACCAGATCCGAGATTCCTGCTGGTGGCATTTCCCAGGGACCAGTGGCCGCGCGATGTCCACTCACCATCTGGCCAACAGCCGAGACGCTCGTGCCGCTCCAAGCCCTCGCCCTGGGCCTTCCGTGCTCCGGGTGCCGGATCTTTTCCCCCCGCCTGTGGGTTTGGGGAATTGAAAGAGTCTCACTATTGTCCCAAGTTCTGCTTTCGCTTTAATTGGAAGTTTTAATGAGAAAGATGAGTCACTTTCCCCGGATCCTCAGAGGATCTACTCTGAGAACGGGTTGTTCTCACCCTTCTCCGATTTTCTATTGATTCTTTATGGTTTGGGAAGAGTTGCCTTTTTAATTTTTTTTTAAACTGTTTTAAAGACATTCACCTTTGACTTGGAGGTGGGTGGAGAACTCTCCTTACATGTGTGAGGAGGCAAGGGAGGAAGGAGGGAAGGAAGGAAGGAGGAAGGAAGGAAAGAAGGAAGGAAGGAGGGAGGGAGGGAGGGAGGGAGGGAGGGAGGGAGGGAGGAAGGAAGGAAGGAAGGAACGAAGGGAGGAAGGAAGGAAAAAGAAGGGAAAGAAAGAATGAAGAACATACATCACAAACAAAACACATTTTAATCCTGACTCTGTGCTCAGGGTTGACTTGCATTCTTTAATTCTTCTGACAAAGCATCTACTTGCGCAAGTGAAAGGACACATCCTTCTCAATGCAGAGGTGTTCTCTGTTACCATTTCCCATCTAGATTGCAGTTGCCCCTGGAATAAAGTCCTACGACGAATGGTCTTCTTTAAGCATTAAAATCTAGCACAGCGGGGAGGGCGTTGGCCTGGTATGTGACCGACCCGGGTTCGATCCCCAGCATCCCATAGGATCCCTTGAGCACCGCCAGGAGGGATTCCTGAGTGCAGAGCCGGGAGTCAGCCCTGAGCATCGCCAGGTGGGACCCCCCCAAAAAAAAAAATCTAGGGCAGGAGAGAAAGAACTGTGTCTAAGGTGCCTCCTTGCATGTGGCTGACCCAGGTTCGATCCCCGGCATCCCATAGGGTCCCCAAGCACCTCAGGGAGTGATCCCTGAGTGCAGAGCCAGGAGAAAACTGTAAACACCACCTGGTGTGGCCCACAAATCTAAATAATAATAATAGTGATAATGGGTCCGATGATGAGTCAGACCTAGCTCTGGGGGGTACATACTTTGCATGTCTGAGGGGCCTTGGAGACTGTCCCAAGTACCAAAATAGCCCATTTTTATTTGGGGGTTGGGGGGTTACTCTGCTCTCTGCTTGGGCTCTTGACCATATTGGTGATTGTCGGCCGGGCCAATCCCAGGCAGTGGCAGAGATGCCCAGACCGACCTTGGGAAGTTACAATGTGCTGCTAATTCTCTCTCCAGCCTCTAAAACAATATTTGACAAAAAAAGACTTTTGTTCCTTGGGCCCCAAGGGGTTTTGGTCAGGGAACTGGTCAAATGAGAGTCGTACGTTTTCCAGACCTTGTCGGGCGTGGAGGGACCCCTAGGCCCCTCAAACACCTTCACCCAGACCAGTAGGAGCTGAGCACTAAAGGGAGTGGACTGATAGCACAGTGGGGAGGGCATTGGCCTTGCATGCTGCCAATCAGGGTTCAATCCCCGGCATCCCCTAGGGCCACTGAGCACCGCCAGGAGTGATCCCTGAGTGCAGAGCCGGGAGTCAGCCCTGAGCATCGCCAGGTGGGACCCAAAAAGCCAAATAATAATAATAATAATAATAATAAACAATAATAAAGAGGGAAGGGTTCCAGAGCAATAGCACAGCAGGGAGGGCATTTGCCTTGCACGCGGCCAACCCGGGTTCGATCCCCAGCATCCCATAGGGTCCCCCGAGCACCGCCAGGAGTGATTCCTGAGCGCAGAGCCAGGAGTCAGCCCTGAGCATCGCCGGGTGGGACCCAAAGAGCAAAATAAAACAAAACAAAATGAAACAAACAAACAAGAAAAGAGTATGCATACTAAGGTATGCCGGCTTCTGGAAGCCACCACGGGGTTCGGGAATGTGGTGCTCTTCAAGCCTGTGCTCTTCAAGCCTGACAAAGACCAGAGGCGCACAGCTGCCCTCTGGGACGTCACCAGGACAGGTTCTGCCTCGGACAACAGGTTCTGAGGGTTTCTGCAGCCTAACCCCGAGAACCCAAAGGGAATAGCGCCACCAGCTGGACACCAGAGGTACTGCCACGGAGCAAGGGCGTCCGTGGGTCACCATCTAAGGCGTCTGCCTGGACTCAGGTGATGAGGAAGAGGAGGATGGTGATGACTAACTTTGGACCACACCTGGAGATGCTCAGAGCTTACCCTTGGCTCAGGGAGAACACCAGGCAGGGCGCAGTGCACCCCCATGAGATGCCGGGGACCGAACCTGGGTCGGCTGCGTGCACGGCAAGTGGCTGGGCTATCTCTCTGCCCCAGGTTCTTTCAAGAGTCGTTTAAATTTGCCCATCGTTTCTTTCAAGGCTTTCTTGCGAGCATAAGAATAGATTTTCGGGGCTGGAGCGATAGCACAGCGGGTAGGGTATTTGCCTTGCATGCAGCCGACCTGGGTTTGATCCCCAGCATCCCATATGGTCCCCCGAGCACCGCCAGGGGTAATTCCTGAGTGCATGAGCCAGGAGTAACCCCTGTGCATCGATGGGTGTGACCCAAAAAGCAAAAAAAAAAATAGATTTTTTCCAGAAGAATAGATTTTTAAATTTCTCGCAAGGGGCGAAATCTACATGATGCAAAGAGCGTATCCCAACAGCTTCTGACACCTTTTTTTTTTTTAATTTTTAAAATTTAAATTTAATTTAAATTTATCACTCCAGGGGCTAGAGTGATAGCACAGTGGTAGGGCATTTGCCTTGTACGCGACCGACCCGGTCAACCTGAGTTCAATTCCTCCGCCCCTCTCGGAGAGCCCGTCAAGCTACCAAGAGTATCTCGCCCGCATGGCAAAGCCTGGCAAGTTCCCCGTGACATATTCGGTATGCCAAACAAGTCTCACAATGTCACAATGAGAGGACAGTGA